CTTTCCCTCTCTCTCTCTCATTCTCTCTCTGTATTTTAGCTCCAGATAGTTTTTATGCTGTTGGTTTTAACTAGCCAGAGCCAGATGTACTTAGTCCTCTCCAGGACTTGAGCTTGGGGGTACCAATTTCACTGGGTTTTGCAATAGAACTGGCTGTGCAGTGCTAATTGATTGACAGCTAGCTGTGCAATGAGCTGATTGCCTGGCAGCCAGCTGTGCACAGTTCTGATTGGATGTCAGCAATCATTCTTCCACCCACCTTTCCTGAGCAGTTAATGTGACCATAAACATGTGGCACTTTTTTAAATAAAAGGAACAATCTATAAAAATATTGCAAATTGCTTTGGGGTGTGTGTGTGAGAGAAGGAACAGTCATAAGCCAATTGGTGCTGTTCAAAACCAGCCACCAGCCAATTAGAGCTACAAATAGCTGCCTTGGCAGAAAAATTTACAAGCTAGCAAAAGTTGGTGGAAGCTTCTTTTGTCAAGCAAATTGAAAAAATTATTACTTACTGGAGTATCTGGTTGTTTTTTTTAAAAGTATTATCTTATTTACTTGAGTTACTGAGACAGCAACATTCCAAACATTTCCACCAAGGTGTGGGTTATCAAGGCTCACACTGGCATTAGTCTAAATGAGAGAGTGAACTCAAACGAACTCTGTGATTCTAGAATTACCTGTTCTTCTGTCCCTTCTCCATCTCAATGGGAGGCTCTTTCCATTTCCGGTGCAGGGGATGGAATAAATTGGGACAACAGGCTCAAACTGGTGGTGCCAAAATGTTACCAAAGTAGTGAACAATCCAATATCTGTCCCTTCCGTTTGCCCATCTTGGAAAATGGTACCTCAAAATGGGATAGTCAGAATACAAATTAGAAGGGAATTGACAGTGTATGTGTGTGTGTGTGTGTAAGGGGGGGGGCTGTGTTCTGTGTGCATGAGAATTTTGAACCAGTTTGGGCTGCTATAGATTAGTAGGAAGTCTCCTCCCGTATCCTATCCCAGCTGATGGTTTTATGGAAAAAAGGGGCTCCTTTCAAGACTTTCAGTGTCTGGCAACTAAAGGTTGTCATAAACCAAAAATTAAAAAATAAAGATGATGGCAATGTCTTTGGAGATCTGAAGAATTACTAAAAGGCCCCACTACTGTTAAACTAGTTGCACACTCCAACTTGTTTCCATTTGAATCCCAATTACTTTCATTTTTTTCTAAGTAATCAGCACCTTGGACAGAGAAATGATTCAAGAAGAGCGCACCAACTGGGCTGTAATAGTATTCAGGGATTGAAAGGAAAGTTGGGGGCAATGGACTCGTTCCGCCTTCTCCCCCATTATTAGTTATTCTGGTGCATTGAAACGAACATTCAGCCCATTTTCTCCTCTCCTTCTGGCTATGCAAAAGTCTGCACACACCCTTCACGACTCTACTCCTGCTGGCAGATAGGTCAGATGGGATAAGAGAAAGCGAATATTTAGAGGCAGCAATCCATGCCAGCAGAAGAGCAATATCCACATCTGACATTACGCCTGGTGAAGAACTGTGGGATTCCTTCTTTGCTTGGCAGATCACAGGGAGAGGCCAAGGAATAGATGCTGGTCAACGGGAAAGGTGGGCTGGAAATAGTTGAATGAATACATAACTATTAGAGGCGCCATTTTTGAAGTCGGCTCCTCCAGCTTCTAAAAACAATGTACATGGGAGAAAAAGATAATTCATCTGATTAGTCTATATCAAATACGAAGGCCTCCTATAGTTAGACGTTGGGTCCATCTAGCTCAATGTTGCTTAGTCTTGCTTGATGGTGGATCTCCAGGGGTTCAGGGAGACAGCAGACTCTACCGACCTCTGTTACCTAAGACCCTTTAACCAGAAATGGAAGGGATTGAACCCAGGACCTCCTGATGCGAAACACATGCTGTGCCACTGAGAGCCTCTCCCCCCTTCTTGAGGCAAGTAAAGAATATTAATAGAGAATGACTCACCCAAGGTCACCCAGCAAGCTTCATGGCAGAATGAGCGTTAGAAGGTCATCCAATAATGATAGATTCCTGGAGAGGGGTTTTGTTCCATTCATAATGTAAGAGTTCATCCCCTCTCTCCCTAGTGTCTGTCTGACTCTCGAAGGGAGAGGTTTTATGTACATGCGTGCCATCAAATTGCAACCCACTTATGGCACCCCAGCAAAGGGCTTTGCAGCCAACTGAGAAGCTGAGGTGGTTTGCCTTTGCCTGCCTCTGCATAATAACCACGCTGGAGTTCCTTGGCGGTCTTCCACCCAAGTGCTAACCAGGGCTGACCCTGCTTAGCTTCCAAGATCCAATGAAGAAGAAGAGGAGGAGGAGGAGGAGATTTGTTTTATGCCCCGCCTTTCACTTGGAGTCTCAGAGTGGCTTACAATCCCTTTCCCTTTCCCTCCCCACAATAGACACCCTGTGAGGTAGGTGGGGGCTGAGAGAGCTCTTTTGAGGACTGCTCTTGAGAGAACAGCTGAGAGAACTTGTGACTGGCCCAAGGTCACACCAGCAGCTGCATGTGGAGAAGTGAGGAATCAAACCCGGCTCTCCCGGATTAGAGTCTGGGCTCCTAACTACTACACCAAACTGGCTCTCTTGTTTGAGATTTGGGCTATACCATCCCGCCTTCCCTCTGGGACAGGGTTTAAATAGATTTGTTTTCAAAGGCCTTGCAGGGACTCTCAGCAGACCTGGCATTATGATGCTCCTTGGGGCCCTGTTGAGCTGAGCGGATGCATCTTTTGATGTGGGGAGTGAGATACACATTTCTGGCATCGCTCAGCATGGCCCCCAACCAGCAGAGCACTACCAGAGCTGGACGGAGACGTCTGTGTTTCGGATTTGTGCCTCGAGGAAATGCGGTGCGCTGAGCACAGATACTTTGGAATGTAGTGACGTGCATGGTGTGTGCACAAGGAGCATAGCCATTGTCCCGAGCAGACGCAGCTGCACAGCACACGGCCCTGAGGAAAGCCACCCCTTTGGGCTGCGTGAAGGTCACCCGGTCTGAGCCTGAAAACCTTAACCAATCGACTCCTATGGCAAGTCTCCCATTACTTCACTTATGGTCCAGATTTCACACTCATTTTCCGGCCTTTGCATCTGACTCTAGCTGGTTCCATGGTCCCCCTTTGGAGATTTGCGCCAGTCTTCAGAAGTCTCCCGGGGTGCTAGGGAGCAGTGATCCCAGGCCTTAAAACAGCTGGCTATTCTCAATGACACTGCCTTCTTGCATCTGGTTGCTTTTCCCGCATCCACAGCCCTCAGAGCACTTTGGAAGCTCATCAGCTTTCCAGCAGAGCATGTAGGACGGATCTGAGGGACCTCTTGCCCTGTCAACACAGTGTGAAATCAAGAACTTTCAGGGCACAGTCTTGGAACAGCTGAAGAGCAGTTGGAAGAAGTCGTTCTTGCATAGCAATGAAAGAGGAATGCACAAAATCCAGTTTGATTTGTTGAAAAATATTTTGTGTAAAATTAGCTCCAGGGGGCAAGGGCTGAAACCCAGGGGATGAGCCATACTAGACGTGTGTGCCCTTGTTTGTGTGCAGTTTGTGAACAATTCTGCATTCCCGTCCCCATCTTTTCGACCATTTTTAGTGGGCTGTGAAATGAGGGGAAGGTGGTTGCCTATTCAGAGTGAGGGCAAGAAGCATTGCCCTCTCTCTGATTTGGCTTTGTGAGGTCATCATATGACCAAATCCAATTGGCTACATACTATCAGCAGGGAGCCTGTTTGGATTATACTATCATATCGCCTACGTGGTCCCTACTTGGTTGGGATAACCTCAAGAAGAGACCTGTAATGTATTCAGCCTGACATGCCCGGACTTGCCCGGGCTGGCCAGGCACAATTCATCAGTAGCTTCAGTCGAAAGACAAAGGATCCGAAGGATCCTAGCCGGCCCAATCAAAAGGGCTAGCTTCCCAGCCGGGGGACCAATGGTCGCCCGGTTACTGTAAATAGCCTATCGGGAGTAGGGGGTGTGTTTAGGTGTA